ACATTTATAAATGTATGAATCATGTGTTGAAAAACTGACTTTGAAAAATAAATCTGTTGTTATGTTTCATGTGGGTTCGTGTTTTTATTTTGACTTTATTCTGATTTTTGTCCTGTTCATCTGTATTCTTCCTCCTGCCTGTCTTTGCTCCAGCCCCGCCCACTCTCACCTGCTCCTCATGTTTCTCTCCCAGGTGTTTCCTGTTTGTGCTCGTTAGTCTCATCTTTATATTCTGTGTCTTGTCTTCACTTCCCTGTCGGGTCATTGTTTGGTTATGTTTGGTATTGTGCCTTGTCCTGTCTTGCCACGCCACTCTGAGTTTTTTTTAGCTGCCCAGTCAGCAACTTTTTGTTCAAAGAAATACTTTGTTTTTGAAGCCTTGCAACTGCCTGCATCATGGGTTCATTCCTGACTGAAAATCCTAACATCTGTTATTTTTCTTATAAAAGAAAAATATTGGTGGTAATGTTTGACTGTGTAACTTTACAAACGGCACCACATACACTGTATTTCTCAATGAATGAAGGCAGAGAGTTGTGTGAGTTATATTTTATGATAAAACCGAAGGATAAATAGGGTGCTGTGGTTATGCACTGGCACGTTTAATTAGAGGAGCAAACAAACAAGTAAAGAAATACATCAAGAACTTTGATTAAACTGTAAACCTATTAAAAACAGACGTGAACGTTGGAGCTTTCAGCTCTTGGTGCTCTTTAAAGCTTCCTCACCTTCATGAATGAAGATGACCTCCCCTTTGTTTACGTGAGCCTGTGTGAAGTTCAGAACGCTCTCCTCGGGCTCTTCTTTTAACGCCACCATCCCACTGGTCAACATTTCAACATGGTAAACCAGCTCTTCTGCAGGGGTATCAGCGTCCTCTGTGCTCAGCATGCTGGACATGATGTCTGCTTCTTCACCGGCAAGAACCTGTGAAACATCACACAGAAGCACATGCACTGAAAAAACATAACTTGTAAGATGTACTTGAAAAAAACATTTGTTAAGTAAATTTAAATGCTTGATTCATGTAATACTTACTCATCATTATCTAGTAAAAGTTATTAAGGATATAATTAAATATTTGTGAATAAATCAGGTAAATTTTACTTAATTTGCTCAATTAAGTCTTGTAACATATACTTGTAAATCTTATAAGTTGTTTATAACAGTGCACATGCATCAAGCACAATATTGTATCATGACACCTCACAGCTACAGAGAGAGGTGTAGCTCTTGTTGAAGTTCAAGACTACACCACCAGGTGTCAGTTTTGAAGAACCTTTATTGGATTCTTCTTCATGAACAACACAGACAAAGTGAAACTCACAGGTCTTATTAATGACTAG